AGATCCTAAAAAGTGTGTGTGTGTGTGTGTGTGTGTGTGTGTGTGTGTGTGTGTGTGTGAATGAGAGAGAGAGAGAGAATATGAATTACCTTGGTTCTCACAGCTAAAAACTAGCACCTGAATTTCCTGATTCCGGGACAGTGCTCATCTGTTCCATTTTACCCAGGATATAGTTGGTTTCCTCTCCAATGGTCTGTACAGCCTACGGTGTAATGTGCAACTACAGAAAACAAATATAGTTGGTTTTGAAGTTTGACAATTCTGGACCTGTCAGGGAGGCCCTTCCTGAGTACATAGCACAATTCCTGCTGGGTATTGTTAAGTGCCGTCATAGCGACCCTTTTTAGGATTTCTGAGGAGCGGCGGGTGAGTTTAAACTGCAGACCTTGCAGTTCAGGATTCCAATGCTTCATTAAATGAATGAATGTGGGAATAAACCAAGGAGGATGGTTTATTTTGACTTTATCTTCTCACTTTATCAAAATAGATGGAATTAGGTTTCTTTTCTGAAAGCTCTCCCAGGGCTGGAATTATGCTCTGAGATGAGGGTTGTTGTTGTTAAGTGCCCTCGAGTCAATTCCTACCTATAGCGACCCTGTATAGGGTTTCCAAGGAGCAGCTGGTGAGCTTGAATCTCCGACCTTGCAGTTTAAATGACTTTGCAGTCTGATGCATTAGCCCACAGCGCTACACCAGGACTCCCAAGATGAGGGTAAGAGAAGAGAAAAACAAGAACAATATGAAGAATTCAAAAGATGCTCTCGGTGGTGATAAATACTCTAGGAATGGTCTAGATATAGGGTCATTATAGTAAAATGACCTCAGAATATGGGATTGGAAAAATTAATTGAGAAAGAATGAAAACAGAAAGCAGATGGGGAATTTCATTAGTGTCATAATCTGAGAGAAAGTCTGAAACTGAGGAATCCTCCTAAGTCTAGATATATCATTAGGACTGGACTGTGACCGAGGAATAAAAGAGCTTCGGCCTATCTGTGGCCTCAACACAGCTAAGGCAAGAAAGACAACAGAAGATCTTTACTGGATGCTAAACACAAGGTGAGAGTCCTGGTGTGGTGCTGTAGGACAAGTGCAGGACCACAAGATTGGTTTGAGCCACAAGTCGGCAGTTCAAACTCACCAGTCATTCCTTGGAAACCCTATATATATATATGGGTCCCTATGGGTCAGAAGTGACTTGACAGCATTTACCAACAACAATAAGCGAAAGATGAGAAAGAAGGGGGAAAACATGGTGTGAAGGAGGGGATAATGCGTCCTGTTTGTGTCACCAGGCCACACCTCACTGGGCTGAGTTTCACTTCCGAATTTCCAGAGCCCAGCACAGTGCCACCGAGTCAGTTCCAAATCATAGTGACCTCATATGTGTCAGTGTAGAATGATGCCCCCATATGGTTTTCAATGGCTGATTTTTTTGGAAGTAGATTGAGGAGTAGATGGTAGGTTTAAGCTGCCAGTCTTATGGTTAGCAGTCCAGTGCTTATCCTATAGCGCCACACAGTAGATGGTCAATAAATATTTACAGAATGTAAGAGGGAGGGAAAGAGCCAGGGCCCTGAGCAGCAGGTTTGCCTTGAGTGAAGCCATTTCAATGATACCCCTTTCACTGGTTCCTTTTGCTCAGATTTCAGCTGTCCTCCTTACCTTCAGGTCAGCAGTTTGAAACTACCAGCTGCTCCCGTAAAGATTTACAGCCTCGGAAACCCTATACAGGGTTGCTATGAGTCGGAACCGACTCCACAGCACACTACAACAACCTTACCTTCAGATGGTGTCTTGGCTTTTCATGAAGCCTCTCCCACAAGAAGGGATGTACTGGCTTACAAAATATAAGCTACTTGACAGTTGCATCTTGCTCCCAATTACCATATTGGAATTTGGCTTTAAGCTTCACTTTATTGCATCAGCCTGCCTCTTACATGCCCACTTCTATCTCTCATTAGTGATGCAGTGATTTCTGCTTTGAAGTCATTCCTCTGGGTTTAATGTTTAAATCCTAGCTCAACCTATTACTGGGCTAGGTTGAGTCAACACACGTCTTAAACCTCAGTTTCCTCATCTGTCAAATGGGGTATAATGCCAACCTCAGAAAGTTGTGTGAGAGTTACATGAGACAACAGATGTATCCTGGACCAATGTTAGTGTCTCTGCCTTTTATAATCTTTCCTTCCTTGGAGACTGGGTCATAAAGGAACATCCACTTTAGAATATCAGTATCTCTGCCTTTCCTTCTCACAAAACTAACTACCTTTGTAAGTAAAGTCATGAGAATGATTTACTCACTTCCTTGAAGATTCTGAAGAGTTATTCTGCAGTGTTAAGAGCCCTGAGAGGGTAGTGGATTATAAGCTGGACTGTTAACCCAAAGGTCAATAGTTTGAATTTTCCAGTCATTCTGCTAGAGAAAGATGAGGTTTTCTACTCCAGTAAGCAGCTCTGGTAGCGTAGTGGTTATGTGTTGGGCTGCCAACCGCAAGGTCAGCAGTTCAAAACTACTAGTAGTTCCGTGGGAGAAAGATGAGCCGTTCTGCTCCCGTAAAGATTTACAGCCTTGGATACCCTGTGCAGGAAACTAAAAAGTTGAAGGAAGTGTTCTGGAACCTCGACGGGCACCTCAGTACTCCACGGTACTTAAAAACAACAACAAAGATTTACAGCTTCGGAAACCCTATCCAGGGTTGCTATGAATCAGATCGCTATAAGCCAGAACCGACTTGGTGGCACACAACCACCAGCACCACCATTCTATTCTATAGTGGAGAGTAATTTAAATTCATTCCTTCAAAATATTTGCTGAGGATCCACACTACATGCTAGTAACGAACAGACAACTAGACAGAGTTTATTCTCTCACTTTGTAAAGGTGAGCAATAACAGATTGCATTGTTAGTTGGAGGAAGGGGATAAGACATACAGACATGGTAACAAAGCTATATCCAATTTAGTAACCAATGGTATAAAAGATGTAGAAACAATATGTTGTAGGAGTGATTACTTTCAGCTGAGCTAAAGAAGCAACACCTTTCAGAGGACGTGGTAATTGGAAGTCTTCATACAGGCCACAAACATGAAAAAAAAAAAAAAAGCATTGAATTCTGGGAAGGATTTCAAAGGACAGTGATTTGCAGAGAGAACTACTGGAAGATAAGCTTGAAGGTCAAACAAGGCATGTGGGTGTTGCAAGTAAAACTGGAAAGGTAAGTTGAGGCAGGCCTAAGCAGGCCTTGAATGTCAGTCTATGGGTTTGACCTTTATTCCATAGCTGATGAAATAGCACTTAAGCTTTTTGATCTGGACATTGACATTACAAAGCAAAGTGAACATTTTCAATGAAAGTTGCATCTGACATAAAGTGGTTTCTAGAGAAATTCAATTCAAAAGAAGATTTAATTACCAAGAGCATATTATTGGCAGGATATTGTGCCGGGAGGCATAGGGCAGGATACAAAGATGTCAAAATGTGGACCCTGCCCACAAGGAACTTATAATCAAAAGGGTCAGATGAGACATGTACTCAGAAAATTACAATACAAGGTAGAGTGTGATGAGTGTTATAATCGAGACCCAGCCTTAGTGCCTTGGGAATTCATGGGAGTGTGGAATTAATTTCCGTCTCCCAAAAGGCTGCAGGCAGGAGGCCAAGTCTGAGGCTCATTTTTGGAATCACAATTCTAGATTCAGAGAGAGAAGACCTTGTAAGTCATCTGGCCTACCCCTATCCTGTCTGGATCCATATCCAGAATAAACAATGACTTAAAAATTGAAACACAAAGAGGGACTCCAGAAAATCTGTGAAGGTTCTGTGGAAAGGGGCAGGAAAAAACGAATACAGCTTTGAGGTGCTGGTGGGTGACTTCCTTGCACAAGGAGAGGTGAAGGCCAGGAAATGGATGAGATCAGGGAGGGAGAGTGTGCTTAGAGAGAAGAAGGATAAAAACAGAAACTTGGGGGAACACCCACGATTCAGGGTGTGGGAGGAGAAAGAGGAGTCAGAGGAGTAGCCAGAGTGAGAGAGGTGAGAAGAAACCCAGCACAGCGCCTTGTCACAAAGTTTCAAGAAGGTGACTGGCAGGAATGCAAGACAAGATCTGAGGTCCCAAGGGAGCAAAAGGAGGCACCTGTAACAATAAAGATCGAGGTTCGATATAGGTTGTCAGTTACACTGAAATGAATGAAGGCTTTTTCCGGACACTCCACAAATAGGGTGGTTTCCCAGTACCTAGTACATGTGAAGGTGGAGTCTTCCCGTTGTCCAGAAGAAACAGGGTTGTGCCTTCTGACCTCCAAAGATCTGATGTTCAGCTCTATAATTAGCACCATTGGATAGAGTGAGCCAAACCTCTCCTAAGCCTAACCAGTCCCTCCAGGAACTAAAAAGTTGAAGGACGCACTTGGGAGGGATTTCACAACCGGTTCTTCGGTCCAGCCCGGTGAAGTCCCGTTTCATCATACAGTACTAATGACTCTCCAGGCCGTCACTCTTGTCTGGTATTGCCTGAGCTCTGAGTAAAGCCGCTTGCAAAAGTTTGCAGCATTCGTCCAAGTCAGACTACAGCTCCCAGAGTTCCCGGGCGTTGCCAATTGGCTGAGTAGTCGGCTTCAGAAGGAGCTATTGCCCCCGCCTCCCCGAGAAACAGGTATCTGATTGGCTGCGGTGCGGGGCTTTTGTGTCCCCGCCCTCCTCCGGGGACCGCAGCAGGCAGAGCTGCGCTGTTGGTGTCAGAACCCAGAAAGCGCTGGCAGTTCCGCGGTGGTGATGCTGAGGAGCGCTGGGTTCGCGAGCAGCCTTGGCCATTTAAGACTTCATAGGCACTCTGGGCCGTGAAACCCCCGGCGCCACAGTCAATCACAGGAGCGGGAAACCATTCACGGTTCCAGAATCTCGGTTGGAATAGAGTCTAGCGCTGCAGCGGCCGTTCTCAGATTCGGGGCTTTCGGAGCGTTCTGGAACCTCGACGGGCACCTCAGGGTTTTAGAACCTCCTGTACTGCTCCGAGTCCCGGCTTCCGGCGTGTGTCTGTAAAACACCCGCTCTGGTGCACAGGTCGTCGGCGAGCCGAGGCTGGGTCTTGGCGCTCAGCATGATCGTTGCGGACTCCGAGTGCCGCACTGAGCTCAAGGGCTACCTGCCGTTCGCCCGGGGCGGTAGCGGCGCTGGGGACGGAGAGGTAAGCAGAGATCGAACGACGCCACTCTTCTCTTGAAACCCAGCCGCGTCTGAGCGCCGGGTTGTCCTGAGATAAGTCTGTGCTCACCCCCCGCTACCCCCGCCCCTGGGCTCGGGGGAAGGGGGTGTGAAGAGCGTAACCCAGGGGTAGGGTTGCATCAACTGGCAACCTCGGCACTCGACGCCCCTTCCCCCTCCCCCGCAGGCTGTGCAGTTCTCCCTGGCTCTCTCGGACCCCTGGCCAATGAGAAGGGAGTCTTCCCGAGGTTCTCTTGTGTTTGGTCTCCTGTCGAGAGCGTCTTCAAGTCCAGGCAAATCCTGGCCGGAGCGGCCCGACCACTCCTCCTCCCCGCCCCCTTCAGCAGATTCCCTTCCTCTTGGCGGGGGCAGCCGGGCAGAGGGCTTTTTCTAGGATATGTACCCCCAACGCTGGCCATCGAGTACCTCGGACTGGTCCGCGAAAGCCACGGTTCGGTGCCCCTCCTGCACCCTTGTCTTTCCTGCACCCCCCAATTTGGAGGAGGGGCGGTCGGCTGCGCGAGGGGGCGGGGCCGCGGGCGCTTCGGGGGCTTGGCTAGCTGCTCCGCCCGCGGCGGTCGCGGCCCAAGCTGAAATGAGAGGGGCTTGGATGGGGGAAACCCAGGCTACCGCTCCCGAAAGCCTACCTGGTGTAGTAGGTTGTGCCTTTCGAAGTGATCTGATGGCCCAGAAGTTTGTTTCAGAAGGGATACCACTCAGTTCCTTTCCCGAGCAGTACCGGGAGGGACATTACCTTGAGGCTTAGAATAAGGTTGAGCCTAATCTGACTAGGAGCTCTGGTAATGGTTACGAACTGGGCTGCTAACCTCAAGGTCGGCAGTTCAGTTCGAAACTACTGCTGTTCCGCGGGAGAAAGATGAGGCTTTCTGCTCTGGTAAAGATTTGCAGCTTCGGAAATAATTAATTACCTTATTCCCTGACCAGCGACTTTGAACCTACTAGTGGGTTAAGAGTTGGGCTGCAAACATCAAAGTCGATGGTTCAAACCTACCAGCCGCTAAACGGAAGAAGGAAGAAAGATTAGGTCGTTTGCTCCAGTAATGATTTACTGTCTCTGAAACACTAAGCTCTGCCCAATAGGGTGCTATGAGAAACGGATTCGATAGCAATGGGTTGTTGTTTTTTCCTTTGCTGTAGTTGTTAGACACAATAGTCTGAGGTTGTTTAGTGGTTAGGGCGCTCAACTGCTCCTAGAATGATTGGAAGTTCCAGGAGAAAAAAAATGTGGCAGTCAACTTCTGGAAAGATCTACAGTCTTGGAACTATCGGGCAGTTCTATTCTACCCTATTGGGTGTCTAGGAGTCAAAATTGACTCAGCGGCAGTGGGTTTGGTTATTTTTGGTACAGATGTCAGGCCTGTTTTTTCTCTGAATCCTCAGGACTCACCCAGCAAAATGTGAGCTATACTATTTCCCCATTTTACAGGGTGAGAAATTTGAGGCTCTGGATGGACTTAGGAAGAGGTTTCCTTATCTAAATTCATTCATTCTTTGCCCTGGGTGTCCCTATGATTTCAGAATGTGCTTGGCACTCAGAGTTTTGCTTGTTTCTTTTGTTTCCAGGCAGCTTGGAGCAGGTGTGTTGCTGGGGTTGGGAATAAGAGGAGTCCTAGGCTTGAGTTGTGTGACAGGGAAAAATCTCTGCTCTTCTCTGAACAACATAGTTTCTGGGACTCCTAGTTTCAGCAGTAGATGATTTATGTTCTGGATTTTTGTTAGCTCAAATTTAACCCTTCCCTTTTGGTTTTTGGGTTCTGGTGCTGCTGTACTTCATTGCTGGGTTATTGACCTTGTGGGGTAGTTCTACTCTGTCTTGAATCGATAGCAGTGTGTTTGGTTTGAAATCTTTATGAACGCCAACTGTCACATCTTTCTTCCATGGGGTAGAATCGCTGATCTTTTGGTTAACAGTCAAGTACTTAACCACTGTGCCACCAGGATTCCTTTAAAGATTACAGTCTTGAAGACTCTATAGGGACTGTTCTACTTTGTCCTATCAGGTTGTTATGAGTCAGAAGGAGCTCCTGATTTGTTTTTTTGTTTGTTTGGACCATGGTTTAGGATTTCCCTGGCAAAGAATCACAACTCCTCCTGACCCCTCCACACACACACACACACTTGCTCCTTCTCAACTCTGTGACTTTGACCAAGTCACTTTATTCTCTGAGTCTGTTTCTTTGTGAAAAATGGAACTAGTGTTATTACTAAGAATACCTAAGCACAGGGTCTTGAGCTAGGTTCATGTTCCAACCCCCAATCAATCACTGTGCCACTTTGGCTAAGTAATTAGCTTTTCTGATCACAATTTCTTCACATAATGATTCAGTTGTTACTAGTGATTGGGAAAATGAATTGAAAATACAAGTGAAGACTGAAGCAATGTCTGGAACAAACCTGTTAACTATTGTGAGAATGTGGTCAAGATACATATTTCAGTTTCCTCAGTGTTTCACAGGAGACAGCCTTTGCTTACTGGCCTGAGATGAGAGTCATGCATCCCTCTCTTCCAGTGTCTGGGAAGTAATTTCCTATTGAAGACTCAGATGTGAAGTCCCCTCAACTTCTCATCACTTCATTGCTTGCTCTTTCAGGGGGTCAAGACCTTAAGATATGTGTGTTGAGTTGGTTCTGACTCAAAGTGACCCTGTATAGGGCTTCCAAGGAGCCACTGGTGAATTTAAACTGCAAACCTTGTGGTTAGCAGCCCAGTGCTTATCCTAAAGTCCTATACCAGGACTCCAGTAAATTTCACGGGCTTCACTCTAGTTTTGGTAACATGTTTTCAGAGCTTTATTGGACTGTTGAATTACTTCCTCAAACCAGGGTTTTGAACTGGTTTAGCCTGGTTCAGTCATGGCTAAAGAAGTGACGCTGGAATGGACTTGACTTTTTAAAATGTGGGTGAACCACCAGGGCACTGACCAAAATGGGATAACTTATGGATTGAAGCCCTGCTAGAAACTTTTAATTTCTGCATGTATGTTGCATGGCAACCAAATCTCTTGATCAGATTAAAAAACAAAACAACAGTGCTTGGTTTAAAGATGATGCCCCCGCCCTACCCCCAATTTTATAACCCACTGCCACACTTCAGGCTCCTGAAAGGACTCACTACGCCTCTTCTCTTGTTCTAGGACTTAGACCTGTCATTTTTCCTGTTCCTGTTAGTGTTCTGGATAACCCAAATTTAAAAAAATTCAGATCTGTTCAGGTTTTGCTTTCTCAACAAGGCTGAACTGGCTCAAACCGGTTCAAAGCCCTGCTTAAACATCACTTCCCTCCCCATCAGATAAGTCACCTTTGCATGCCTTCTTCCAGTCCCCTTTTTCCCTGCCTGAGAGCTTTTATCCAGTTGTAGTGAAATGGTTGTGTAATTAGGCATTGGAAATGTCTATCTCACTTGCTAGATTAGAAACACCCTGAGGTAAGGACCCTACCTTCAGGTCTTATCCCCTCCCCATCACTATTCTTAGTCTAATAAATGCTCATAACCATTTGTCCCATAACCACTTAACTGACCCTTGTGAACTGTGCAGGCTTTGATGTCAGATCTGACCTTGTGTCTGTCTGGGAAAGGACCTTTCTGAGCCTCAGGTGAACAGTTTCTAAAGAAGGGATTGTTGTTGTTGTTAAGTGCTATTGAGTCGATTCTGACCCATAGTGACCCTATACAAGGTTTCCGAGGAGCAGCTGGTGAACTTGAACTGTCAACCTTGTGATTCAAACCAACATTGCAGTCCCGCACATTAGCCCACAGTTGTTGTTAGGTGCCATCAATTCGGTACCGACCCATAGTGACCTTATGGACAGCAGAATGAAACACTGCCCCATCCTGGGCCAACCTAACTACTGTTGCCATGCTTGAGTCCATCGATGCTGCCACTTGGCCAATCCATCTCGTTGGGGGTCTTCTTCTTTTTCTCTGACCCTCCACCTTACCAAATATGATATCCTTCTCCAGCGACTGGTCCCTCCTGACAATATGTTCAAAGTATGAGAGACAAAGTTTGGCCATCTTGGCCTCTAAGAAGCACTCTGGCTGCACTTCTTCCAAAACGGATCTATTAGTTCTTTTGGCAGCCCATGGCACTTTCAATATTCTCCTCCAACACCATAATTGAAAGGTATCAATTCTTCTACGGTCTTCTTTATTCCAGCTTTTCCTTGCATATGAGATTATTGAAAACACCATGGCTTGGGTCAGGTGCACCTTAGTCCTCAAGCTGACATCTTTGCTCTTCAGTACTTTAAAAAGGTCTAGTGCAGCAGATTTGCCTAATGCATTACGTCGTTTGAGCTCTCTTTTGTCACTTGTCTGTCACTCGTCTGTTAGTTTGTTGTACTGTGGTGGCTTATGAGTTGCTGTGATCTGAAAGCTATGCCACCGGTATTTTAAATACCGGCAGAGTCACCCATGGTGGACAGGTTTCAGATGAGCTTCCAGACAAAGACAGACTAGGAAGAAAGAGTGACGAACTACTTCTGAATATTTAGTCACTGAAAACCTTATGAATAACCCACAGTAGTGGAGTGAAAAGGACCTTGAAAGCCAGACAGATCTGGGTTCAAATCTCAGACTGATCACTTCTCACTAAAAACAACCACTTGCTGTTGACTTGATTCCAACTCATAGCAACCCTGGCATCCTTGTATGGTGCTGGAGGATAAACACTGGACTGAAAGGTTGGTTTGAACTGCAAGTCAGCAGTTCAAACTCACCAGCGGCATGAGTCGGAACCACCTCAACAGCACTTAACAACAACATAACAACCCTACAGAACAGGATAAAACTACCCCATAACTGTATATTTTTTTGGAAGCAAACTGCCACGTCTTTCTCCCTTTGAGCAGTTGGTGGGTTTGAACCACTGACTTTCAGTTAGTAGTTGAGTACTTAACCACAGTGCCATTAAGGCTCCTTGGTCACTTCTCAATTGGTGCTTAACCTTTGAACCTTGTGAGCAAAATAGAGATCTATCCCCCTTCCTTAAGATCTGATGTGACAATTCAGTAGAACCTGTGTACAAGTGTCTGAGCTAATATAAAAGATAGTTGTTAAGTGTTGTCCAGCCGATTCCGACTCATAGCGACCCTGTATAGGTTTTCTAAGGAGAAGCTGGTGGATTTGAACTGCCAACCTTTTGGTTCACAGTCCTGTGCTGATCTACAATCCCACACCAGATTTAGATAAATTGCAAACTCAGTTTTTTTAGAAGCAGTAATTGGCACTTAACAATAACAACAAATCACATTTCAAATGCTCAGCTACAGTGACTAAAAACTACTATATTTATTGGGCAGTCTAGATGTAGAACATTGCAGCATTACAGAAAAATTCTCTTGGATTGTGTGCGTTACACTGGGATTAACAATAGGAAACTAGATTCAGTGTGTGTCCTCAGAAGCAGATCACCAGGTGTTTCTTGCAGGGTGTCTCAGTGGATTCAAACTGCCAACTTTCTGGCTAGCAACTGAGTACTTAACCCTTTGTGGCTGAGAACTACTAGTATGGCCCCATTTTACAGACGAGGAATAAGACCCAGAGATCAAATCAAGTCATCTGCACCACCACAGCTGGGAAATAGGTGACAGCTGAGATTCTCATGCTCTTAATTCCTCAAGGGCTCAGTAGCTTTACGGTTTTTGCACCTGGGGTTCCCCAGGAGTGAGAAGCCCCTTTCTCTGCCTACAACCCTGGGAACTACTGTCCTCAATCACAGCACCTGTCACACTGTTGTTTTGCATCTTGAGGATGCTGTTGAGTCGGTACCCACTTATAATGACCCTGTATAGGGCTTCCAAGGAGTGGCTGGTGGGTTTGAACCACCAATCTTGTGTTTAACAGTCAGTCTCGTTCTTATCCTACAGTGCCATACCAGGACACCTCCAAAAGATTGTAGTCATGAAAGCCGTGTAGTTCTACCCTTCTCTTGGGGTCACCAGGAGTTGCAATCTTCTTGACAGTAACTGGTTAATTAGTTTAGCGTGGTTCCTTTCTTGAAAGTCAGCTGGGCTTGTGAAGTACTTGCTTAGGCAATGGGGGCCAGTGTTACTGCTTACCATTACCATTACCCTGTGAGTCAGGACCAACTGGACAGCACTTAATACACACACATACCAGAAACAGGAATCAATGGGGTGCTAATGGTTAAGTGCTTGGCTACTGGCAGAAAGGCTGGCAGGTTCAAACCACCCAGAGGCACCTTGGTAGACAGGTCTGACATCTGCTTCTGAGAGGTTACAACCTTGAAAACCCTATGGACCCATTCTTCCCTGCACAGATGGAATCCCTATGAGTCAGAATCGACTCGCCAGCAGCTAACAAGTCCAGTATTGGGAGAAGAGCTGGTTTGGAGGAGTCATGTTTTGACAGTGGCACCCTACCCTATATGCTTCTGAAGTTCTGGGTGTCCAGGTTAGAGACTCATCCAGAATACAGGCTGTGCACTGTCTGTTACTACTGCCTGGGTTGCTGACCTCCTCACCGCTGTCCCCACCCAACCCTCATCCTCCCTGACCCGATCCTCCTCTTCCCCATCTCTTCTCCTTTAGGTATCAGCTCAAAGATCATTTTTGCAGGGGCTTTCCCTGGTGGTGGTGGTGTACCATTGATTTGATTCCAACTCATAATGACCAGAGTCTAGGGTTACCAAGACTGTAAATCTTCTCAGTGGCAAGGAAGGGACAAAGCCTCATCTTTCTCCTGAGGAGCAGCTGACAGAGTCGAACTGCTGACCTTGCAGTTAGCAGCCCAATGCTTAACCATGGCTCTTGTCTGGTGGTGAAGGTGGTTGTGTGCTGTGGAGTCAGTTCCGGCTCATAGCAACTCTGTATAGGGTTTTCGAGGCTATAAATCTTAACAGGAGCAGAAAGCCTCTTCTTTCTCTGGTGGAGCTGCTGGTGGATTTGAACTGCTGACCTTATGTTTAGCAGTCCAACACATAACCCACTATGCAACTAGGGCTCCCATCAACACAAGCTCAAATACTGCACACACACTACTCCGTAAACCCCCTAAACACACATACACCATCATAACAAAACCTCATGACTGTATTTCATTTATTTTGTAGAACTTATTATTTGCAATCCTTTTCATCAGTTGTTTATCTTACTCCATTGTACTGTAAGTTCTATGAGGACTGAGACTTTGTCTTTTCATTGCTGTGTTCTGGCTGCCTGGCAAATAGTCACTAAAAATATTTGTTGGATGAACAGATTAATTCTGGTTCCACTGGGGAAATCACTCAACACAATACATTATACTTGGAAAAATAATCACTAAATAGTACAAAACAGTAGCCCTCCACCCTGACTAGATATTATGCTGAGGCCCTACTATATAGATGTTGTTAAGTGTATGTAGATAGGCCCATTAAATTAGAATTTCTGGGGTTTTGTTTGTTTTTTCAACTTCTCTAAGGGATTCTATTCTACTACAGTAGTCCCTCGTTCATCTGTGGTCTTGCTTGCTGAGATTTCAGTTGCCCACAGTCAATCATGATCCCAAAATATTTGAACTGCATGCCATTCTGGGTAACATGATGAACTCTCATGCCATCTTGCTCCCTCTAGGCTTCATCCTCACAAGTGGGTGAGCAGCTGCGGTATGCGACACGTTAACACTGCCTGCCCAGGGTACCCCGTGTACCTATCTTATATAATGTATAGGTGGTTTCAGGCATCTCCTGGGGGTCTTGGAATGTGTCCCCCATGTACACAGTCTGAGTTGAGAAACCCTTGTTTAAACAATAACAATGAGGTTAATGATAGCTGACTTGATTTCAGGCTTATAGGTACTGAACTAAGCATTATCTCATTAAATCTCATGACTACTCAGTGAGAGTAGGTACTATTATCCCCATTATTTGGTGAGAAAACAGGTTCACATAGCTAGTAGATATCAGGTAATTCAAGACCAGGCAGTTGTGTCCAGAAACTCTTAACTCTACTGTGATACTATTAATAATAATAGCTGTGATTGTTATTAAGGCTAAAAATGTTAGTGTCTCCAGACCCTTCACTTCTAGACCCACAAATATCAGCTTGTCCCCTTGGCAGCTCCAGGAGAGAATTGAAGTGAGAAGGGCTCACTGAGCTGCTCCCTTCACCTCCCAGCACTTCTGATGGGCCAGCCCTCCTGCCTGTCCTCCAGCCCTGCCCCACCCCTCTGGTTTCTATCTGGCCTCAGCTCCCCTGAGGGGGAGGCCCAGTTAGTGGAGTCAGCAGTCCTTATCTCCAGACGGTACTGCTGGGCTTTTTCCTTCAGGAGAGGGAGGAGGGAAGCTGAAAACGGAGTGCTTGTGGAATGTGGTGGTTACTAGGCTGGACTTGGACCAGTTTGGACTGGTAGATCCCAGAGGTGTGGACTGAAGGGGGCCTGAGCCTTCAACCCAGACACCTTCTTTGTCTAGGATTGTGAGGCACAGAGGATCTAGATTACTTTCCCAAATCTGGATTTTAATGGGGGAGGAGAAGGGATGTTTCTAAAGGGTGAGAGGTCTGACTTTGGTTTAGATAAACAGTTTCCAAGGCTAAGGCTTCTTTTCCTCTTCTTATTCTCCTCCCAGTCCCAATGAACAAAACAAACTAATTAAAAAAAAAAAAAAAAAAAAATCCTCCCTGAATCTCTTTCTAGAACTAGGAAGAAATTCAGTGAATATAGGACTGTTGGCTTCAAAGAGTCTCCAATGCCTGCACACAAGAACACTCCCTCCCACAAGTCAGAATAGCTGCTCCCAGCAGCCTTGCGTACCCTCCTCGTTTCCTCCACTCCTTTCAGCTTTCTATGTTTTATTCACAGAGAATGTTTCTCATATGAATGACCTGACCCTGCTCTTAACAAAATGTGGTCTTGTAGTACGAAAACCTAAAGCAAAATAATTAGAAGATCGTGTTTTCATGAGTGAAAACTAGGCATTGTGGGGTCACAGAAGAGGGGCCTCCTGAGGGCCAGGAAAAGATTCCAAGACCCTAAGGGAGTGTAATAGTTAGCTCTGCAAAAGGAGTAACCAGTCAAGTCAGAGGGCAGTGGGCCTGGGCCACCAATTTATCTAAAGAGTTGTAGGAGGTTCAGGCAGGGTTTTCCGCCAGTTGACAAGATTTGTACCGCAGGAAGTTTACTCTGACTTCTTGGTAGAGTATGAATAGGAGAGGGCAGGAAGATCATTCATGGAGCAGGGTGGAGTGGAGAGATCCCCAGACAGGCGATGATGGTGGTAATCTATGAGTTGGCAGCAATGAGAGAAGTGAAGACAAAGGGTTTGTTGAAACCCTATCAGCAGTTCTCTAGAGCACTTGGTTACCAGACACTGGATACAAATGACAGGGGACTTTTTCCTGGCTGGGAGTAGTCAAAACATGCCTTGTGGGGTTTCTTCAGGGTTGCCGAAAAGGTCCTTCCCTCTGGTCACATCCCAGAGATGTGCAGCTTGGTGGTGTAAAGATCTCTTTCTACCCAGCAGTGTTGGGGTACCTGGGTTGCTGCCCAATTCCTGATGAAATCAACTCTTTCTTCCTTACCCTTTCTCTACCTGCCAAACAGGGTGTGTACCTCCCAACTAGCTCCTCCATGTTGAGTGTGCCAGAAAGATGGTTTTGAAGTTCAGTGTGGTCCCTTGTGTGAGGTGGAGGAAGTTGGAGAGATAACTATCCACTTAGTCTTCTTTATACCAACTAACTATGATATATCTTCTCCCAGGAGCAAAGGGAGAGACGATCCCAGCGAAGCCATCGAGGGCCCAGTGCCTTCATCCCGGTGGAGGAGGTAAGCATGGTAGGGGTTAAGAGTCTTTAAGGAAGAAAGGAAGGGGCATTGGGTGGGCAGAACTCCTTTCCTGTCCCTTGACATAGCAACTTTGAAACTTCCCCGTCAGATTCCTGACTCATTTAATCCACAAAACAGATCTGCAAAGTAGGCACTATCAACCCCATCTTACTGGGTAGGAACTGGCTCAGCATTAACGTGATAAATAATACAACTAGGCAGTGGCCAAACTTTTGATCCCCAAATCAGTGTTCATTTTTCCTTAAGAAGACAGAACTGTCCATGCTTATCTTCTTATTCTTGATGTTAAGTTCCCTCGAGTCAGCTCTGACTCATAGCCACCCTGTATAGGGTTTGAACCCCAGACCTTGTGATTAGCAGTCCAGTGCTTACCCTCCAGTGCCACACCAAGACTCCTTGGTAGTGTATTTGTTTTAAAAAGTTTTTTCTGCTTTTAAAGTAATGTATATGATCATTGTAAAGGTTTATCAATGTTTCAAAAGCCCTTGGTCTCCTAACCCCCACAGAATAAGATAATGACAACCATTTGCCACTATTTTCTGGACTTTTTTTTTTCCAAACAGATACTTTCAGTACAAAACCAAGGTCATAGTTTACAACTTGAATTTGTTTGTTTTCATTAGCAATGCAACTGAGACATCTTTCTTCTACTGAGTCAGGTCATTGATTCATTTATTCAATGCGTATCTGCTGAGTGACTAATCTGTATGAGGCATTGTTCTAGGTGTTAGAGATACAGCAGTGAACCAGTCACAAATCTTTGCCTTCATGGAGCTTACATTCTAGTGTGTGTGTGTGTGTGTGTGCGCGCGTGCATGCGTGCGTGTGTGTGCATGCACACCTGTGGCAGTGGGGAGGGAGGAGTGTATTAAAACAAACAAAAAAACCCAAGACTACTGCCATCAAGTTGATTCCCATTCATAGTCACCCTTATATAGAGTTTGTTGTTAAGGTGCTGTCAAGTCGGTTCCGATCTATAGTGTCCCTATAATGGAGTTTCCAAGGAGAGACTAGTAAGTTTGAACCACTGACCTTGCAGTTGAAACCAACCTTGCTTATCCTACAGCGCCACACCAGGACTCCTATTTAGAGTTTACAAGACTGTAAATCTTAATGAGAGTAAAAAGCCTCATCTTTCTCCTGCATAGCTGCTGGTGGGTTTGCACTGCTGACTTGCTGTTTAGCAGTCCAGTGCTTACCTTACAGGGTCAGCAGTCCAGTGTTTATCCTATAGCACCACTAGTTTAAAATGCATGTGTGGAAAAAAAGTAGTTTCCTCATTTTCTTTTGGCTTTCAGTCCACAAAGATGCATTTTGTTTCCTTGTCCTTTGGTTCTCTAAACTGTTCAAATGCCTGACTCTCCCTCCTCTTTGTAAGATGAAGAACCACTCACTGATTTCTTGTATCAGTAACCCAAAAATTTAAAGTATTATTGTTCTTGGTTTTGTTTTTTGTTTGTTGTTGTTTTCTCCCCTTTTATAAATAAAGGGAAAAAAATAGATTTGGGGTTAATTTGCCATTTGCCAGATCTGTAACGTTGAACAGAAAGCTAAATTCTGTGGGACAGGATGTCCTCATCTGTTAATTGAGAACAATAGTGACATTCCCTCACTGGACTGTAGAGACCTCATTGGGAGAATGCAGGACAGTTCCAAGTTCCTCAGCAGCCAGCATGAAGAACACATTCTGGAAGTGTGAACCTTTTCACTGCCCGCCCCCACCTCCCCGCCTCATAGTTTATGGATTTGCAATGTTAGAAGGAAAGCTCAATGAGGGCAAGAGAAATGACTTTAATCTCTATGCCTAGAATTCTAATTTCATGCTTGTTCTGAGGATTAAATGAGTTAATGTGGATATATAAAGTCCATGAACAATGGATAGCACGAAGTAAACATTGTTGTTGTTGTTAAGTCATAAGCTGTCGAGTCGGTTCTAACCCATAGCGACCCTGTATAGGGTTTCCAAGGAGCAGCTGGTGAGCTTGAACCACTGACCTTGCAGTTCATATGGCTTTGCAGTCTGGTCCATTAACCCACAGTGCCTCAGTAAGCATTGTTAAGTGTCATCCAGTCAATTTCGACCCATAGTGACCCTGTATAGGGTTTCCAAGGAGCATGCTGGTGTGCTTGAACTGCTGACCTTACAGTTCAAACAGCTTTGCAGTCTGGCACATTAACCCACAGTGCCACACCAGGACTCATTATATAGGAATTACTTTTGTTGTTAAATGCCGTCAATGCAGTTCCGACTTATAGAGACCCTCTACAGTGTTTCCAAGGAGCAACTGGTGGGTTTGAACTGCCAACCTGTGGTTCAAACTAACCTTGTAGTCTAATGCTTATCCTACAGTGCCGTACCCGTACTCTAAAGGGCAGCAGTAGGCTGCATGGGCTGGAATGTTATATATGGAGTACTGTGGCTCTGTAGGATAAGCATTAGACTACTAACCACAAGGTCAGCAGTTCTGACCCACTAGCCACTTCTCAGGAGAAAGATGAAGTTTTCTGCTACTGTAAAGATTTACAGCCTCAAAAACCCAATACGGGTCCCTAAGTCAGAACTGACTTGAGGGTAGTTAGCAACAGTAACGACTTTATTATACCTAGATATGGGATGTATTGGTGGTGGGGTTGGTGTGTTGTGCAGTTGGTTCCAACTCATAGTTACCCTGTATAGGGTTCCAAAATATAAATCTTTCTCCCATGGAATGGCTGGTAGTTTCAAACTGCTGACCTGAGGCTACCAGCCCTACTTGTAACTAATGTGCTACCAGAGTTCCTTTGAGGTGTACTAGATATTTGGTTTTCGGAGTTCTGGTGTGGCGCTACAGGATAATGTAATGGACTGCAAGTTCAGTTTGAACTTCAAGATTAGTGGTTCAAACCCACCAGTTGCTCTTCAGAAACGTTATATAGGATCAAAATGGGTTGAATCTGACTTGACAGCACTTAACAACAGAACAACAGCAGATAATTGTTTAATCATCTGCCTTAGGCTGGGTTTTCAAAACCAGTGGAAACACACACACACACACACACACACACACATATATATATAGAGAGAGAGAGAGAGAGAAAGTCCCTCTTGAGTGTCCATTATATTGGGAGCAGGCCATGCCCTCAAAGAAGCACTCTTTTAATTGATTGGCTGCTCATAGCCAATCATCACAAAGTTGATTGTACCTGTAATAAGTTTCATCACCATGGAAATAAGCACATCTCAACTGCTAAGCCTCTGAACATCCTGGCCTAGTCAAGTTGACATAGAACCCTAACCATTATATTATCTTTTTTTTTTTTTTTTCCATTATATTATCTTAATTCCTTCCCCTAGTCTCCTCTTTTTGGGAACACAGAAGTTGTTTTTCATTTTTTACTATTACAAAGCCACCCGAATGAATATGAATGAAAATGTTGACTCCCTGGTGGGGAGGGCTGCAGGGTAACTTCTGTTCTCCTCACCTTTTCTTTGTAGGTGCTTCGGGAGGGAGCTGAGAGCCTGGAGCAGCACCTGGGGCTGGAGGCACTGATGTCTTCAGGGAGGGTGGACAATCTGGCGGTGGTGATGGGTCTGCATCCCGACTACTTCAGCAGCTTCTGGCGCTTGCACTACTTATTGATGCACACGGATGGGCCCCTGGCCAGTTCCTGGCGCCACTACATTGCCATCATGGTGAGCCTGCCTGGATTTGACTCTTAGAGACGTTGGACCCTCCTGAAGGGGCTTCTTTCCTGACGTCTCTCCATTGGGGGCTTCCTGAGTTGGCTCTATAGATGAGAGAGGAAGTATAGAAGAGAGGAAATTGTACCTTCATCTGACCAGAGAATTTTCTATTTTGAAGAGAAGCATCTTTAGTGCCTATTTTATAGACTGAGAAGCTGAGGTGCAAGAGGGATCAGATGACCTGCCCAAGGCTACACAGTGAGCTAGTGGCAGAGCTAGGGTTAGAACTTAGGTTTCCTGCCATGTCCTGTCATGTCTCTTCTATGGGGTATCTACCCTGAATAGGGCATAGAGGAGGGAAGGTGACCTTGGCTCTGTCCTTGACCCTACAGGCTGCTGCCCGCCACCAGTGCTCCTACCTGGTGGGCTCTCACATGACTGAGTTTCTGCAGTCTGGCGGTGACCCTGAGTGGCTGCTGGGTCTCCACCATGCCCCCAAGAAGCTGCGTAAACTCAGTGAGATCAACAAGTTGCTGGCACATCGACCATGGCTCATCACCAAGGAGCACATCCAGGTGCAGTGGGCAGAGAGGCAGGTCCCCGAGAGAGCCCAGGGGCTGGGCTCAGGGCAGCTCAAAGGCAGGCATTGAATGGGTCTGGCCTTCTTCCCTTCCAGGCACTGCTGAAGACCGGGGAGCACAGCTGGTCCCTGGCTGAACTCATCCAGGCCCTGGTCCTGCTCACTCACTGCCACTCACTAGCCTCCTTCGTGTTTGGCTGTGGCATCCTTCCTGAGGGGGACTCAGAAGGCAGCCCTGCTCCCCAGGCACCTTCACCCCCCAGTGAGCAGAGTAGCCCCCCTAATGGGGACCCATTGAACAACTCTGGGGTAAGTCACCACTGGCTGAGTGTTGGTGGGGGAGGAAGCTGGCAGGCATTGGTACTTTGGTAGATCTCCTACTTCCTTGCTTCCTTACATTGAGAGGCGCTAAAAAAGTTATTTGACTTTGAAGCTCAGTTTCCTCATCTGTGAAACAGGGATAAAGAGGATTGTGATGCTTACATCACAGGGCTTGTGAGGATTAAATGACAGAACCATGTGACTGCTGCTCAGCATATAGCTCCAGAGGTTCAAAGTTTTTAGTATTTCAAAACTGAGTTTAAAATGTATTAAAAATTTTTTTTTTAAGTTTGTGTAATGGCCTTGTTAGGTTTAATATAATAATACAGATACTTTAAAAACATCTTGCCTGTGAGGGGAGTTGATGCTCTATATAGAAGAAGAGGTGTTTATTTGGTAGCTTCCTAAGCTTCACTTTCAGAAGCCAGGTCATGTGAGTTGCTCAGCATGTGCCTGCTACAGAGCATGCGCCAGGCTTTTACAGTTCTCCAGGAAGCCTGCATGTTGGGAATGGTGTGTGGAGCTTATTGGGGCCAAGGGTGGAAGAATAGATGGTCACCACTGGGCCTCCTCCACCAGGGCTTTGATGCTGTACATGATGTGGAGGCTCTGATGGAACGCATGAGGCAGCTTCAGGAAAGTTTGCTGTGGGATGAAGGGGCATCCCAGGAGGAGATGGAGACCCGCTTTGAGCTGGAGAAATCGGAGAGTCTGCTGGTGACCCCCTCAGGTACAGTATCCCCGACACTCAGGTTCCTGGGGCTGCTGCTGCTTAAATTACTTCTGGTGAGATGTAATCATCTCCATCTCCCGGACCTTCTCTTTTCTGGAGGCAGCCAGGTTTCGGCCACTTATTCAACAGGTTTCTGAGCATGGGTTTTGAAGTCAGTCTTGGGTTTGAATTCTGGCCTCTTCCCCTTCCGGACTATGTGACCACTGACAAGTCACTTCCTGTCTTAGGGCCTCAGTCTCCTCACACAAGGATTGGTGTATAGGATAAATGTGGCAGCAGAGGCAAAGCTCTTAGCACAGAGGCTAGCCAAGGATAAGCAATTCCTCTTAAAAACCTCCGCTGTTATTATTGCTATTATAATTGCTGGGGGCACTGCCTCTCCTCCTCTCTCAGGGCTATACCCCAGCTGTCCTGGCCCCAACCCACTGTTCTGAGGGCCTTGTTCTGATCCTTGGCTCTGTGCCTTCTGCTGTCCCCTATTGATAATCCTTAGAAGTCTGTGTGTGTGTTCATGCATCAGCCTCATGGTGACCTCTTTCTGACATGCTTTTCAGCTGACATCCTGGAGCCCTCTCCACACCCAGACATGTTGTGCTTTGTGGAAGACCCCACTTTTGGATATGAAGACTTTACCCGGAGAGGAACTGAAGCACCCCCCACCTTCCGTGCCCAGGTAGGCTTTTCCCTAGGAGTCTTGGCTATAGTTCCAGAAGAACAAACAGGTAGGGAATTGATGATTTCAATGGTTATGAAGTTGGGCACATCTTTTCCTACCTGGAATCCCTCAAGATTCCATAAAGAGAGGAGAAGACCCTCTGAATTCTGAAAGAACTGATTTAAGCCCCAAGCTCAGGGAGTTCTGCTCTTAGGGAAATGGTCATCTCCATGATGCGTCCACCTTGGCTTCTGTAGCCCTGATGTAAATAGCATGTTTTATTTGTGGGGTGGGAAGGAGACGTTATAGAGAGCAAAGGTGTGCATCAGAGGTCCAGCTCTGTCAGCCTTGGATCCCAAAGTTCCTTCTCACTGACTTCATCCTGTGTCCCTCAGGATTACACCTGGGAAGACCATGGCTACTCACTGATCCAGCGGCTCTACCCTGAGGGTGGTCAGCTACTGGATGAGAAGTTCCAGGCAGCCTATAGCCTCACCTACAACACCATGGCCATGCACAGCGGGGTGGACACCTCTGTGCTCCGCAGGGCCATCTGGAATTACATCCACTGTGTGTTTGGCATCAGGTAATCACAAGTCCCCTCTTCCAGGGTGTGTGTAGGATGTACAAGTCCTGGATTGGAACTCATGGTTTTGTTTCCTTGTTCTTGTTTTTTTTTCTTTTCCTTTCTTTCGGTCTATACTGTTTTTCAAAACAAACTGATTTCTTTGCTGATTATAAAAGATAATAAATAGAAGCGCTCTTTGTTTGAACCTGATAAAATAATTATATTTGATGTTTTATTTACATTTCAAGTAGCAGTCCTTTCCTTAGAACAGATTGTTGTTGTTGACATTAAGTGCCATTGAGTTGATTTTGACTCATAAAGACCCTGTATAGAGTTTCTGAGGAGTGACTGGTGAGTTTGAACCACCAACTTTGCAGTCCAGTGGTTATCCTACAGCATCACACAAGGACACCTAATAACAAATAAGGACCACATAATTACCTATAAGGAGTCCTGGTGTGGCACTGTGAGTTAATGCGCTAGACTGCAAAGTCATTTGAACGGTGGTTCAAGCTCACCAGCTGCTGCTTGGAAACCCTTATACAGGGTTGCTATGGGTCATAATCGACTTGATGATACTTAACAACAATAACAATCTCTATATAGTGCAGTCTTGGTGTGGTGCTGTGTGATAAGGCACTGCATCATAAGGTTGGTTTAAACTACAAGGTCAACAGTTTAAACCCACCAGCTGCTTATTGGAAACTCTATACAGTGTTTCTATGAGTTGGAACCAACTCAACAGCACTTAACAACAATAACAACATCTCTACATAAGGAACTTTGGTGATGCTGTGGTTAGCTGTTAGTTGCTAACCTCAAGGTTGGTGGTTCCAACCCACCATCTGCTTCATGGGAGACAGATGAGGCTGTCTGTTCTCCCGTCAAGATTGACAGCCTCAGAACCCTGTATAGAATCAACTCAAGGACAGTGGATTTGATGTGTCTGGGTTTTTGTCTCTGAATAGTACAATGTGATGAATTATTTTCATCTTGTTTAGCGATTTCCTAGTTTTGTTTTTTTTTAAGAAAGGTTTCTCTTTTTTTCTTAATTGATAGGATCATACTCAACATATTCTGCAACTTGCTTTTTTACTTAATGATCAATTGTGAGTCACCTTCCTTTCAGTATCCTTAGATCTGTTATGTTTTTAACAGCTACATGATATTCTGTTATAGCTGAATCATAATTACTCAAATCTTCTCCTATTGGGTATGGTGGCTTACAGTTTTTCACTTTTAGAACACCATGGGTACTGACTAGCTTTAGAAAGAAATCTTTTCTATATGAGAAATGACTTGCCAAGAATTTCATAGATCAACTTTTTTTTTTTTTTTTTTTACATTAAAAAAACCTAATTTCATACTCTGGATTATGGAAAATCTGAAGCTTAAGGAGAATAGCCATTGCATAGAAGTCTACCACTCCATTACCTCCATCTCCTGAAGTGGTTTTCTCTGTCACCTTTTTTCTTTTCTATATAGTTGAAACAATAATGCTCATTTTATTTTTAAAAATCATAATATATAAAAAGAAGCAAATGGCGTGATTTTAGAAAATTACAAAAAGAGATACCAGCAATCACCCACAGATATGATTACAAAACTCGACATGTTAACCATGTTTTTGCCTACTCCTTTAGCTTACTTTACTCATTTAATAAAATGTCATGGTATGGTGCTATATGGTATGCAAGGATGGTTTGATTAGAAAGATTGGAAGTTCAAACTCACCAGCCACTTCTCAGAAACGCTGTACAGGGCTGCTGTGAGTCGGAACCAACTCTTTGGCACATAACAACAACAACATATTCCAGTGAACACATTTGTTTTTGCTTTTCTCACTTAGCAGTTTACTCCAAGCATCTAAAAGATTACCCCAGATTTAAAAGAATGTGCACGTTCCTTGTAGAAATCATGTTTCTGAGTGAGCTGAGCTATACTTCATCCTCTTGCAGTTTTGGAAACTATAGGGGAGACCAAGGATAGGTATCCTAGAAGGTAGCATCTTAGAAGGTGGCATTGGGTAGTCCCTGCCCAGCTCTAGGCCTAGGCTTCTCCACCCTCCATGTGGTTCTTGTTCCCATAGCTTTGTCTTTGTCTATCAATTTTCATCTACCCTTTCCCATCCACATTGACCTTTGCCTGCCCTGACCCACTAGACTGGGGAGTGGACTGTGTGCCTTGTAGACTTATTACCAACTTTGACTAGAGCAAGTTCAGTGCCTTCTTCAGACTTGAGTTTGCCCATCTGTAAAATGAGTACCAGCTCCTTTTGACCCTTTCCCACTTGCTTCTCCAAGGTGACTATTTATACTCACCTCCTGGCCTACTTTCCATGATCTTTACTGTAAAGTCGTGAATGTGGCCATGAAACCAGGCAGAGCTAGGCTTGAACCGGATTACCAGTTAGTTGCCTGACTTCACTTTCAAAATCTCAGTTACCACCCCTTTCCAAGAATAAGACTCAATGGGAATACACGCTCTGATTGGTGACCACGCTCGTTACTGATAAGTGAAAGTGAAGAAAAAACAGCAGTGAAGCTGTGAGCTAAACCCTACGATGTTCAATAGACTCCTGTGAACACAAGTGGAGACCTGGTTGTCCAGCAGTGTGGCAAGACCTGGGGACTCTAGGGCCCAGAGTCAGTGACATAGCCACAGAGGACTAGAGTGGAGAGTGAAGCATCCAGCTGATAAGAAGAGAGGGCATATGGACAAGAACACCCACACTTACAGATAATACCCACTTGACCTGGCTTCGAGACTGGGGACGAGAACAGGCTCGCAGGGTATACCCTTTGGTTGTTTGATGATGCATGGAGGGGATTGTAACCATGGCAATGAAACGATATACAATAGGATGAATGTAAAGCTAATGTTCTCCCGTGTAAACTGTCACATAATACACAATAAAACATTTAAAAAAAAAATCTCAGTTCCCTTATCTATTAAGTGGGGCTGATGAAATAGTTTTGAGGATTCCACAAAATACTGGGCAAATAGTTAGTGCTCAATATAGCATGCTTATTCTCTGTGAATCCCTATGAGTCTGGAGGCCAGTGCCATATGACACCAGCTTTTTCTAGAGGACCTGGTGTCTTGTTGCTTACTGCCTTCTGCCTAGTCTCACCACTCTGTTCTTTTCTCAGTGTGGCAAGAGCGGGGGAGGGGAACTATTTCTGGAAGTACAGAGGCTAAGTGACCTTATTGGGGCCTTTCCATCCAGGTATGATGACTATGACTATGGGGAGGTGAATCAGCTCCTGGAGCGGAACCTCAAGGTCTATATCAAGACGGTAGCCTGTTACCCAGAGAAGACCACCCGGAGGATGTACAACCTCTTCTGGAGGCACTTCCGCCACTCTGAGAAGGTACAGTCCGTCAAGGAGGGAAGGGAGGGTCACCCCTTCAGGGAGGTGCTGAGGCTGGTGAAGCAAAATGGAGTAGACAAGGCCAACCAGTGGAATAGAGGTCAAGGAATCAAGAGGACCCAATCAGGAAGTCTGAGATTGAGTCTATTCGGCCAGCTGGAACACTTGGGCCTATTATCCTGGGTTTAAGTCTTATTCCACTCTGTGATTTCAGGCCCCATTTGCAGGAATATGTTTAATTGCTTCAAAGCGTCCTCAGCAGCCTGGTGGACCTGTATTAAATGGTAGCACTATTGTTCCCTTACTGTGTGATCTTGGGCAAGTAACTTTGCCTCTCTGACCTTTTTAATTTTTTTACAATGGGAATAGATATTGCCTACATTTCAAGGTTACAGGGAGGATGAAATAGATTTAAACCCAAGATGTCTAGTAGGTGCTCAGTTAGTCGTAGCTCTTGTCATTAGTTTGGGAAGATAAAGAGACTAGCACTACATGACAAGGATGAATGTGCTTGAAATTCTTCAACAGTTGTTGTAGCAAATTGCTCAGAGCCTTAGAAAAGGCAGGGTATCTCTGTAAGGAAGGAAGGGGACAGGGTGATTGGTCAGGGACGGTGACAGTCTGGAAAGAAAGAGAAGGACAAGAGTAACTCAGTTGCCAACAAGCCATTATCTGTTCCCCAGGTCCATGTGAACTTGCTTCTTCTTGAGGCCCGAATGCAAGCTGCCCTGCTCTATGCTCTCCGTGCCATCACCCGCTACATGACCTGACTCCTGTGCAGGACCTAAGCCCGGAGCAGCTGACCCTGCAAGGACTTCTGTGCCTGGAGACAAATCCAGACCCGTTTCCTGGCCCATGCCCATTCACCCGACTCCGGGGGCGAGTGGGCTTGTGTGTGACCCCAGCCTGAGTCATACCCTCCTTTTTGTCACTGGAATGGACAGGATCACTGCCCTAACTCGGGATCCCAGAATTGGCCCCTGGAGCTGGAAGAAGACTAGGAGACCTCAAGGAGGCTACACCCTTTTTCCTGCCTATGGGCCCAGCAGGCTAGGCCCCAGGCACCCGAGGTGCTGTGTCCTCCCTGGCTGACCCTGAGAGAGTTGCTGACAGCTCCAGAGATTGACACTCCAGGCAGCTCTGCTCTCTCTCCCCGTATTCCCAGATTTCATTACCTCCTGCCTGCCATTCACCCATCAATGTGAAAGTCAGGGTCCCAGCTGGTCTGTATGCCTGGCACCCTATTATCCTGCTCCACTGGGCAGTCTGAAGGCCCCCAGTTACCCCAGTGTAGTGGGGTTTTTTGTTTTGTTTTGTTTTTACTTTCTTACCCCTCTTACCCTTTTACTGATAGTGTGGGGCCCCAGGAAAGAGGCCAAGCACATCACAAAAGAAGATGTATCTCTAGACACTTTGGACTTGTTCTTCTGAAAATGAGGGAATATCAGATCAGTGTCTGATCTCTGGTCCTTTCTGGTTGGTCAAACCTCCTTCCTAGGCTATAGTCAGTATCTGAGGAGGGAGGAGGGGAAAGGGGGAAATCTGTTTTCACTAGAGTTGTCCCTGCTCTGCAGAGGCTGGTACCCTAGTCTTTCATTCCATTGGCTTTGCCACAGATGTTTGCCTAAAAGTTGAACCTTTATTGGAGACTCAGATGGCACTGTGGCCCAGTGGGAGAAGCAGGAGTCACCAGCATCCTTGTTTGAGCCCTGCCACCAGCCAGGTGACCATGGCTGTGTTACCAAACCTCTTTGACCTCCTCCGTTTCCACAGTTGTAGAGTAAAGGCTGTGTCTGAGATGCATGGACTCTTCACTCTGGGATTCTCAGGCAGGATCTCGAAGGCCTCTGGGGAGCGCTTGCCTGCTGTCAGTCTCTCCTGTCTGTTCTCTGTCCCAGCGTCTGTCCCCTCTCCTCTATGTAAGGCAGGTTGCTTGGTGGCAGAAGTAGCCCAGGTCCCAGGCACTTTCTATAGCAAACAAGCTGTGAATGCTAACCTCTCTTGCCCTTTTTCCAGTAGTGTTTGCCTCCTCTCTAACCTTCTTGGAGGTGACTGAAGAAAGGCAGGGGCCAAGATGCTGCTGTTTCTGACTTTTCTCTCTGCAGTGGGAAGGGAGAGGAGCTGGGTCAGTGTGCCACATTTCATACCCATGCAGGCATGGGGAAGCAACTGACAAAGAAGGTGGGCGGGAGGGGTGGGACTTCAGCATTGGGGTTTGGGTTCTAGAGGAGACATGATGACTCTGAATGTCCCCTGGATTGGGGTGGGGGGTAAACCAGTGTTCAAGTGCAGAAACCTTTGGCTTTGCTATCCATATGATGACAAATAAAGGTTCACAAGGTTGTGTTTTGTACTTCTTGTTTATAGCCTCTTTTTCCACTCCCCGAGGGTCATGGTTCACCTGGTAGCAGAAGCAGGCAGCTGTGATTGCATCATGAACTTGACCTGCTGCCCCTGTTCTGCCAGGCCCTTGTACCCAGTGACTGATTGCAGGGGTTTGGAGGGATTGGCATGGACAGTAGTTCTGTCCCTTGGATAGCCATCATTGTAGAAGAATAATGGTTGTGTTATTTTTCTGAGTAAACCTGGCCCTGTGCTGGCTAATTAGAGGCCATTTCTCCCAATTTGCAGCAATGCTATAGGAGAGTTGAGACTCAGATGAAAGGGCATTGCTAAAGCCACAGCTGGTCAGTGGTGAAGCTGGGATTCCAACCTGGGTCTGCTTGAACCAGAGGTCTTGACATTTTACCTTGCTGCTTTTCCTAGTATGGGGCTCACCTTAGGACCCCTGGTAATGCAGTGGGTTAAGTGGTGGGCTACTAACTGCATTCACTCCATGGAAGAAAAATGAGACTGCTCTTAACTAAGCTTTCCAGTCTCCGGAACCCTAAGGAGCCGTTCTACTCTGTCCTGGTGGGCCCCTATGAGTTTGATTCTGTGGGTTCACGCTAGAGTTGAGGGAGGCTGTTTGAGAATCTCTGGGGAGACCCCTACTGTCCTCTGCCCCACCATGTTGTGCCCACCACTTCTGATCCTTCCCTTGCTTGCCAACACCAAGAAGACAGAACTTAGCTACCAGAGACTAGATGTAACTTTGAAATTGTGTTGTGCCATTTAGCAGCTGTGTGACTTAGGTCAAGTTTCTTAACTTCTATGAGCACCAGGAACTAGTAAGCTTACCGGGAAAACCACATCATGACTAAGCTGAACCCTCTTCCACTTCTTCTAAGTATTACTGTACCATAAAATGACAGCTGGGTCTCCTGCAGGAAGTCTTCCTGATTGATTCTATGTCCTGTTTCCCTTTGAGGTACTTCATTTTTTCAGTATCCCTTTACTCATGCTCTACCTTCTAGAGTCATTTGAGAGGATGTGAAAGTGAATCAGACCAGAATTCAAAAATTGGATTCTGGTCCTGATTTTGCCACTTTATTATTAGTTAATGGCCAGAGAGACTTAATTAATTTTATCGTATTGCACAAGTTTCCTGAGCCCTAAAAATGGGATAAAATGTTCACTTTGTCTATTGTGCCTAAAGATTATGGATTTGTAAACTAACCTGCGGAGAAGGAAGCATGATACTTCGTTTTTCCAGGAGCAATGTCTGCTATTTCTTTTCTGAACATCATCTGCCTGATGTTTTCAAAATTAACATCTTACTCTTTGCAACAACCCTGGGAGAAAGGGGTGATATTCCCATTTGACAGATGTGAAAATGGAACTTCAAGTGAAAGTTAGGGAGCGCCAAGTTAGCAGACACAGGCTCAAATACCCATACTGACATTTAAAGTCTGTTTACCTCTGTGCAAGTTACTGCAATCCTACCTCTTCAACGTCCTTATCTTTGGTATGGAATGAATACCTAGGTCACAGGAGATTGTGAGGATTAAATAATGCATGAAAACTGCCTAGTACAGTTCAGGTACCTGACACCTACTGCTAGTGAGCCATTCAGTATGCCCAAGGTTATGCCACTGTGCTAGGATTTGAATCCTGTAATGACTTCTGATTCTGGTGCTCTTTGTTTTGCATTGCATTTGCCTTAAATCCCCTAGGCCGTTGAGCTGCATTTATTTTATTTTTTAAATCTTATTCAAGTCCATGAGCACATGGAATCAAAAATGCTTAGCTCTAGACTGTACCTAATAAATTTGTTTTAGACTTTCTGCAGTTTGCAACCCTGGACACACCTAAAATGAAAAAGATTGGAGTTTGGGGGAGGTTGCTGGTGGCTCCATTCTTTTGATTTTTTTTTTTTTTTAAATAATATGTTTCAGGTAAACATCATCTACACAGCAAATTAGGTTTCCATTTAACAATGTTTATACAAATTGTTCTGTGCCATTGGTTACAATTTTTACAATGTGTCAGTTTTCTCAGTTCTATTTGTTCTGTTTCCATTGATCTAGTTTCCCTTCCTCTCCTTGCACATTACTCACAGGTGATATTGTTTATAAGCCAATCTATTGTTTGGCTAAAAGGTGACCTGCAGAAATAGCTTCAAATGCAAATTCAATGGTTATCTTAAGGTAATAGTATCAGGGGTTCCTCTAGTGTCTACTTAATGGATTATAAGCTTTATTTCTTCATTTTCCCCATTCTATTCAAGACCTTCTATTGTGTTCCTGGACTTCTGGTGTGGCGTTGCTGGTTAATGCGACAAACTGCAACGTCGGTGTTGGCCATTAAGGCCGGCAGTTCTAACTCACCAGCTGCTCCTTGGAAACCCCGTACAGGGTCGCTATGCGTCGGATCCCAACTCGATGGCACTTAACAACATCAACATTGTGTCCCTGGTCGGAATGGTCGGTAGTGGTAGCTGGGCCATGTAATTCTTCTGGTCTCTGGTTAGAGAGGGCTGTGGTTCCTGTGGGCTATCAGTCCTGTGCACTAGTTTCTTCTTTGAGCATTTAATTACTTCCATTCTCTTTTGCTCCATACAAGTAAAGGACAATAGTTTTATCTTAAATGGCTACTCACAAAGTTTTAAGACCCCAGCCAGATACTACTCGCCAATTTAAGATGAAGAACATTATCTTTGTGAACTACGCTATGTCAGTTGACTAAGTTTTTCCCCAAGACTGTTGTCCAAAGCCTTCTAATCCAGTAAACACTGCTAGTTTTTGGACATTTCTAGGAAGCCTCTGTAACTATGTTATATATATGGGGAGTCCTGGTGCGGCACTGTGGGTTAATGCTTTAGACTGCAAAGTTGTTTGAACTGCAAGGTGGGCAGTTCAAGCTCACCAGCTGCTCCTTGGAAACCCTATAAAGGGTTGCTATTGGTCGGAATCGACTTGACGGCACTTAACAACAAAAACAACATATATAACATGTAGCCCTGGTGTTGTGATGTAGGATAAGCACTGGACCACAAGGTTGGTTTGAACCATAGGTCAGTAGTTAAAATTCTCCAGCCACTCCTCAGAAATGCTATACAGAGTCACTATGGGTTGGAACTGACTTGTCAACATTTAATAACAATATATCTGGTAGCATAGCGGTTACGAATCGGGCTGCGAACCTTAAGGTCAGCAGTTCGAAACTACCAGCAGCTCCGCGGGAGAAAGATGAGGCTTTCTGCTCCCATAAAGATTTACAGCCTCAGAAACCCTGTACAGGATCACTATGGGTCGGAACCAACTTGACAGCACTTAACAACAACAATATATAACATATAACTATTATATGTGTGGGTATATATGTAGATCCACCACTTGTCTGTTAGTTTGTAGTACTGTGGTGGCTAGTGTGTTGCTGTGATTCTGGAAGTTATGACACTGGTATTTTAAATTCCAGTAGGGTCACCAAAGGTGGACAGGATTCAGCTGAGTTTTCAGACTAAGATTAGGTAGGAGAGATGGACTACTTTAGAACATTTAGTCACGGAAAACCTTACAAATAGCACTGTCAGCACCAGAACACTGAATATTGAAACATGATGAAGAACACTAGAATATTGTCAGATATAGTGCCAGGAAATGAGCCCCTCAGGTTGGAAGGCACTCAAAATATAACTGGGAAAGAGCTGCCTCCTCAAAGTAGAGTTGACCATGATGACAGG